GCGCGGCGCAGTGTATACGATCCAGAAAGGAAACAAACAGAAACGCGTGAATGCCAGTGAACTCCAAAGGTGGTTCCAAGTGCGCCAAGAGGGCGAGCCACAAACACTGATAAAGAAGACGGCTGTACGGAGATCAGAAAGACTACGACGACAGTTGATTGAAAGGGGGGACGAGTGTGGTGCGAACTACTTATAAGTAGTATATAACGTGAGTGTCAACGTAAAGTCTGGTAGCATAATACGGGGGGGAAGATCAAGAAAGAAAGAGTTAGAAAACAATGGAATTTGTATCAAACGCATGAGTAGTGACAATGGATTGATGTTTGGCAGCAGAAACAGTCCAGTTCCATAGGATGAACTGATCTTTTGCAAATGAACGATTTACGATATGGTTTTCCGATTTTACTGAGTAACTCTGTAATTTCCGTTAAATACAATTCGGTTGCCCCACCTGTGTTCTCATTCACTACAAATGCACCTGCGCCATTGCAAACGATTATGAGCCATATCATTCAAGGTCTCTAGCCATCGATTACTATCATCTCGCGGACCCCAACCAGGGAGTCGACAATTACCGACATTGCTGAGTCCACTTGTCAGTGACTTCATGGATTTCTGCCATGTTTTGTTTTGGCCGCCCCTAGATTTCTTCCAACCTATTCCTACACTACAAAACAAAGCTCGACGAGGCAGTCAGTGGTTAGGCATTCGTAACACATGTCCCAACCACATCAACTGATGAAGTGTCACTACTGCGTCTGTTGATCTGCCATTCTTACCTAGCACCCGATTCCTAATAACAGCGTTGCTAACTCGGGTGTTCCAGGATATACGAGAAATGCTTCGAAGACATCTATGATCGAAAACCAGTAACCTACGAATATCTTCTACTCTCACTGGCCATGTTTCACAGCCATAAAGTAAGACGGAGCGAACCACTGCACAGTACACTCGTCCTTTAGTCAGCAAACGGATATCTCGCCGACGCCGTAATTGACGCAAGTTGGTAACAGCCAATCGACCTTTCTGTATCCGAGCTGAAATTTCGTCAGTCACCAGACCATCAGCTCTGATGAGACTCCTCAGTGAAGCGTTCGACACGCCCGACTACTTCACTCCCTATTACTAGTTCAGGTGCCGATGAAACCCAATATTGAAGCAACATTTTGCATTTCGAGGGGGAAAACAGCTTTTTTGATATCAATCCAACCTGCTTCCGGATGGGAATCGCTTAAATGCTCGCCTAACTGTCTTTCAAGTTATTCCTGAAATATATTCATCGCCTTGTTATCATTAATTAGAACCGTAAGAGGCTACGGTCGGGGCAAGTGTCACTAACCGACTGCCTGATCAAAATTTTGAGTACTGAATGCCGAAGTCATATGCAGATAGAACCAGTGCCTAGAGTTGGAGATGATTTGCGGAATGGGTTGGGATACCAGATGCTGAGCAGAGGCTTATGGTCTATGAGCAGTGTAATCTGCGGCCGTATAAAATTTGTGCGAAAATATATTGTTAGGATATTCATCCAATATCCTAAGATAATTATTGGTCAATTTCTATTGGTTAATCCCTACTGGTCAATTTTATAGTCATCCTAGATATCAATGTCACGTACTCCAATGTTGTTTCTTATTGGTTGTCCTGACTGCCAATGTCACTTCAAATGTTGTTACCTATTGGTCGTCTTAACTGACTTCGATGCTATTTCCTTTTCGACCTAAATGTATAAATACGCATTACCTGTAACGTTTTATGGACCGGACCCTGATTCTCTTCTGCACTAGAACCTCGCACATTCCAGATGCCTGTAGAATACAGGTCCTACTTCATATCAGGTCTCCTTCTTTTATTCAATGGGGGTTGGGACATTCGGATTAGAGTAGCATGTCGTGTCGTCGGATCCGCGCTCTCGTTTTCCGACTAAGGTAAACTCGTAATAATCCAAGCATATCAAAATGACATGTTTAAGTGCATGCGTAACACAACATAAATTACTTAACTCCTTATAATCAACTTAGTTATTGACGCAGACCTGGCCTAGAACATTTAATACTCAGAGGGAGAGAAACGGGCACAAAATAACAGGACATTTATGTTTTTCATGGTAATTTCTAGTGCTTAAAGTAGAGCAACCGTTCAGTTAAACTTGATTGTATTGTTGTTAAGTAATGAATAAAACAGTACCATCAGTAGACTGGTTTATTTAAGCAATCATGTTAAATACTTATTCTGAATGCTACTCCAGGTGACTTTTGTTAAAACAATGTTGTCATATAACGTACATAATGTTACATTTGACAAAGAACTTTACCTACTATTTATTCAATGTAGCACAGTTTCATTTAATTTGAAAATATTACTTTGATACATAACTCAATAAACATCTATAGTAAAATGTAGTTAACCTAGAATTGCAAAAGGATGTTGAGTTAAACTATATTGTCTGTTAAGGATAATTAAAAACAATCTTAATTACTACACTTTGTGCAAAAGGGTCCCAAAAAGCTATATTCCCTACATAAAAGGGACTAATCGATAAAAACCCAGTGACTTTATCCAAATGTAACAAAGTGAGTGACATGATACTATTTCTGTTGATAAAAATCATTATACGAAAGTATGATAAACAAACTGATTTGTTTTCTGAATATTTAACTGACGGACAGATTAATATTGAATTCTATTCACCACTATCCCCTACTAAAAAGCACGTTAGTCATCACTGAGAACATGATTTGTATCTGGTAACGTAATTTATTGAAGTTTGTTTTGTTTAAAAATCGTATTTTAATATAACATGTTAAAAATAGTTAGAAAATTACTAAAAACCGAAGATTACAATTGTTCAACCATAGGTTTAATTAACTGTAGAATTTAAGGATTGAATGCGATGCTGTTCCACCAGTTAAAACTGCTCGAATTATTCGCGATAGAAGTTCAAATGAATGAAGACGATACACTGTTAATATATTCTCATTACAAGTGAATATTACTTGATTATATAGAAAGCTGATAGAGAGTTTCTCATATACAATACAAATGAACGTACTTGCATTCATGAGTAGCATACTGATGGTAGCGTAGTTGCAAGAGCAGTAATAACAGTTACATCCGAAAGTCACACAGTAGACATGTTTATCATAAGAATAAAGTTACTGATCAAAAACTTACAGTCTACAGAATCTCAGCATGAAAGAGTAAACAAAACAAAATACTGAAATTTCTATTTATTTTCAATTTATAAATAATTTTTCAAAAATAAAAACCGTGCTACCTAAAAATACAGACAGGAGAGGTGAGTCAGTCGAGAAAAATATATAAATGTATACGTACACAAATCATGATAACTGACTATTGAAATGGAGAATGGTGATAAGTAGGGCGAAGAAGTTAGAGTGAAAAGTTAGTCTTTGTTTCCTCCTTTCACATGCTCAAACATACGTAACCGAAGATCCGTCTACACAAGTCTCAAGACACATTAGGAAAAAGATAATGAAATGATAAGCATAGTGATGATGACAAAAATAAGAGTTTGTATCAGGATAACAACTAATTACTACTATGATTATCACCTGAATAAAAGCAAAATATATATGTCTGCCTCCTTGTTTACCAGGGTATAATGAGAACGAAGACAATATATATATATATATATATTATAAGAAAATGCATATATATCTATCTAAGCGATAAAAGAGATGAGTAAGGTGTCCTCTTCGCAGGTGTGATCATTCAAAATGTTAAAAGACACTTAGATAGATAGGCAGGGTGGTATAAAGCTAACTACATCATAATGATTAAATATAAAAAAAATGAAAGTAATTGAAAAACGGATTACTGTAGATCTCGTATTGGATCGAGAGTGTGAACACTCGTTTTAATCATAGTTATATGTTTTTTCCTGACTAAAAAGTGAAACTGAGAAGGGATGATTGGAATTATAATAAAAAACAACACAGTATAAACTAATCCAAACAAGAAAAAAAATATGAGTCGTTATAGTTTCTGTGTTCTATATATAAGTGAGAAAAATATATAAATACCCGACTAGCTCGATGATTATTACATCACATTCATAATAAATATTTTTAAAGTCATCTAGGGCACTCATAGCTCTGATATTGGATACAACAAAAATAAGCGTATATATATATACACTATAAAATAGAAGGAACAGATTACATTACCAACAAAATACTACCAATTAAAAAAATGTGCAGTTAGTTTGCAACGCAGATAAACGTACATGATGTACAAGTATTTACAAGCTCGAATACAAATAAATAAGCATGGTACTAAAGACAATTATATGCATGTACTGTCTAAATCAATCAATGCGTCATTCTGCAATCCATATAATGTACATTTTTATTTCTTTAGATTTTTTTAATGGTATTGATGATTAAAGCCCTTCAGGATGAAATGCAAAACAATACTACAGAAGTGTCAGTTTGGTTTTGTTGTTCAGTAAATGTCTGCCTCAAAAGCAGGATACTCACTCTCTACTCACACAAACATTGATAGGTGATGTTAAAATATGTAGTTTGTAAGGTGGTGTGGAGTATCTGTAAAATCATGGTAAAATCGATAATAAAACGAACTATCAAGTTCTTTCGTAAATATATTTTTTTATGTCAACCATGATATTGAGTTAGAAAAACAATATGTGTGAAGATAAAGTTTGCGTTTAAATACCAGTGGGACGGTAGATAGCAATTTCGATTGTGTGAATTATTTTTTGTTGATAAGAATTCGGAGAGGACAAAACAACCACAATTATGGACATATATGCAGCTAGTTGAAAAGTATTGACGGTGTTTATTGTCATAACCAGAAAAGATAATAATCATGAATCAATGAAAGATTTCTCGAATAAAAATACACAATTATGTATTGCAGTTAACAACATAGTCTATGCGGCGGTAGTTATGATTCTCTAGGCCTGTTTTGCTTAAAATTGCTACTCATCAGTGACGAACTTATCAATCAGTTCAGTATTACTTTCTTGGAGCGCAATTCAACGAGAAAACATCTACACAAACCGACACAAGGGAAAAATAAAACAAAATAAACAATAAACAGCCAATAAAGTGAGTTGAGAAAACAATTACTTTATTAATAGATTAAAAATAAGTATTTATAGCGAGTGAGCAAACATCTACTAATTTTCCATGAATAACTATTGAAACAGAACCCGTAAACAAATTAAATTATGATAGTCACAGTCTGTGCGACTTGATACAAAATGTACTACTTGGTTGGTTGTAGAGTTGTGTTGTGTTAAAGTGGATTTCAAAATATTACCAAGAAAAACGTTGCTACTGACCCTTTTTTTTCCTCCAGTAATCTGTCAACTAGCTAAATCAATTTATAGGTTGAAAGATTATATTATTCTACACAACTTTGTGAGAGAACTCTCACAGTCCTTAGTAAGAAACCGTGACCGGTGGAGTATAACCATGTCGAGTGTGAGGTATTTACTCAACGAAGACAGACAGATACAACACAGAACTTCGTACGTACGTACATCAGTTCACGTTGACATACCACATTAGCACAGAAATGCATTTGTCACGTCAAATCCCATAGTAGTAGAGATAGCAGAAGTATGAGCAGTAATCGGAAAGATTAGGGTTGGAAGATATTATTCACGAAGTATAATCTAGTGAAACAAACTTAAAAAGAAAAAGAAAAAGTGATGATGAATTCAGAAGGTTAGAATTTGAGAAAACAAAAAGATTGGATGCACCTGCGCTATTGCAAACGATTTTGAGACATGTCATTCAAGGTATCTAACCATTGGTGACTGAGGTCTCGCGGACCACAACCAGGTAGCCTCAACGAAGACAATGGATGAGGATCGAGCAAGGCCGATGAACTCCGGCTGTGGTCAAGAGGTTAAGGCCGAAGGTCCTGTGTCGATTCCCACTCGCAGGGTCGTGGACGCGCACTGAGTCTCATACTAATACAAAACGGCTGTCCAGAGGTCCCAGGTTTTCAATGGTGGTTAGGCATTGATTGGTTCATGATAATGATAACGTTTTTTGCCTATTAGGAATGTATAGAACTCTTTAGAGTATACAAAAGATGAAACTAAAATCGTCAATCTGAGGAAGACATCAAAATTCCTCCTAATAAACATAAAATCAAGGCGTCGGCTTAGGAGGGTGTTTAGAGGAAATACTTTTTCTATCTAGTTAATTAGGACAACTATTGCTTTTACTTACTTTCCAATGATTGTTGACTTGACCATCTTGATGGACAGATATTAGCTTTATGTCCTGGCTGACCACAATTGTAACAGCTGACTATTTTAGGTCCATTTATTGATGACCAAGAAGAAATTGTCATGGAAGGGCTATTAGTATCATTAGCTGGCAAATTTGGTATTGGTGGAGGATATGTTGGATGCAAAGGAGGATGTAACCCGAAGCTCGGTAATGGAGGGGTATTTGGCATTTGAAGTAATGGATTTTGTAATAAGGCTGATTTTGTCATAGGATCGACTGATGCTACAGATGATTGACTCATAGAAGAAAGATTAGATTTAATAGAGTTTGAAGAAGTTATAGGAATTCCTAGGTATCCATCTAGGGATAGCCCAGAAGTCGAAGATGAACTAGGCACTAAACCATAAGAGGAATGCGGTTGCTGGAAATGAATATTTGGATTAGGAATTGAACCAATAAACAGAGAGTGAGTGGATACAGTAGTTGGAACTAATGTTAAACTAGGGTGTTGTGTATAGTAGAATGAACAGGCAATTTGAGGATGAGTATAGCCACGCGGTATAATGGAATTATTACAATTCATAGGTAAATAACCACGATTAGGGTAAATACGTTGGGGTCCAGAATTATTAATTAGACCATTTGAGGAATCAGGTTTACCAGGAAATCGAAGATAAGACCAAGTAGGATTACAAACAGTTTCTTTAGCAGACCATAATTGATAAGGTATGTTACAGCTGAGAGAATCTGAAAAGTCACAATTCTCGAGAGCATTTATTGGTGGATTTTTCTGTGTTTCTTCAGTAGTGATTATATCTATACCATTAGAATCATATGATTGGTGGGGTGCTAAGCTGAAAATATAGAAACGTAAAAAAACAGAATTTTTAAAAAGAACAGTCAGTGAACAAAAGTACACAGAAAGAGTATCGTTCATCTCTTAAAGTCAGACCTACATCATTTTGACGTGAAAGATGATCAAGATGCACAAACGATTGGTTTTCATGATACATAAATTGATCTCGTCTGTGGCGATACCACCAACAGCCACATAACTACTCATAGACACGGATTTTTCAACTACTTCCAAAAGCTGACCACCAAGAGTGAGTGCAGACACAGGCACTTGCCAGTATTGCACACGACTTTTCATTTGAAAAGTGCAAACGAAACCTACAAGGATTGACTGCCAACTGGTCAAGTGCGATTTGAAAAGCTTGAGTATCATTGCATAACATTAAAATATTATTCGCATCCTTAAGATAAAAAAAATTCCTGAAGTACCAAATCTACACTCCTACCATCTACCTCTGACAAAACCGTTTACAGAATGTAACCGATGGCAAATTTTACAGGAAAATGTGGGCCTGGATAATCTTGTCCAACTCCACTGATGGCGTGGATTGATAGAGATACGTGGTCATATGTCCCCATCCTATTTAAAGTGTTTATGCACAGAACCAACATAATGTTAACCAACCTCTCCGGGACATTCATTTCCAATAGACTATTCCAGACCATTGTTTTCTCAAGTGGATAGAATGGGGCACCGATACGAATACACCTGCCCTCAACCGACAGTCCACCAAACTTTTTAACTGAAGCTACAACAAATGATTGAGGTTAGTAAATATCGAGAAATTCTTATGAAAATTGAGAGCAAAACAAGGAGATAAGTATATAAATAAAATGAGTAATTGAAAAATGAACCTAGGTACACTGACCGGTTAGAGGAGTGGACATGATTTATGTTCGCATTAGTCGTTAAAATGGTAGTATTAGCAGTAACAATAGGTACTGAAGTTGTACCATTCATTGTGGCATTACTACTACTAAACGTTTTTCCATGTGATTCTGGAAAAATATTTGTATCATTTGCAACTTTTATTTTTCTAATATCTGAAATATTCCGTTCGTTATTTAACTGTTTCATTCTGATCGTATCCAGCTGATGATTTGAATGCGAATTATTAATATTTGGATTTAGGTCGATACCACCATTATTGTTATCACCATTATCAAAAATTGTTGTAACTGCTTGGCCAACTGGTGAATTTCGCATTACTCCACAGGAATTTAAAGCATTCGTACATATACTAGACATTGAATAGGGAGGGTTTGAAGGCAATAAGATATATGGCTGTGAAAATGGGCCCTTGTGAAGTACTTCTAATTGAGAATTATATATTGCAGAATTTATAATGGTATTAGTAGTTACTTCAATATTGTTATTAATATTTTCATGATTCGTGAAATAATCACAGTTGCTGACCGAAGAACGTAGTGGACTATGGGGGCTTTTCACTTTCTTCCCTTCCTTTTCAATATCATTATGATTATGATCATCATCATTATGTCCGTCACTATCTGACTCTTGAGAAGAATGAGAAACTGCACTAATCTCTGGAATATTCATTTTGACCAACTGTAAATTAACATCAGAATCATTATTTATGGAGTTTGTAGTTAAAATACCAACACAAGACGATAAACATGGTATGAAAGATGAACATGCATTGTTAATATTATTGTTATTGTTAGATGTGCCCGCCGATTGAGCCGTCCACTGATATAAGACAGGTAGTCTTTGCACAGGTTGGAAATTTTCTAAAATCGTAGATGTAGGTAGTAGATATGATGGACATAATGTTGAAGGAAGTATTGGTATAGGACCTTGAAGTGACATCCAATAGTGCGGTGAGATGGTAAAATTATTGCTAATAGTAGTAGTAATAGTAGTAGTAGTACGTGTTATATAAGAATAAGTATTTGAATTTATCATAATAGGAAGAAAATTTGACTGGTTGGAAGAGAAAACAGTTGTTTCAAACTGATTATTATCACTAGAATGGAATGGGATTGATTTTGCAACCAAATCATCATTTTCATCATGTTTCATATAGTCAGAAACAACTGAAGTGCATAAATAAACCAAAGGTAACGATTTAACAAACTAAAAAATTATTCAAGACGTCATTAGTAAAACGGACTTCAACTAGACCACTATTCAAAAGATTTCCATAATATAATGTGAAATAATAAACTAGTCAGTGTTTCAGTCAATACACCTATATATACAAGATATTCCCACCATGAACTGATCAATGAAGGACTAGAAAGGCGTAGTGACAAAATACTGTATATTGACCTTGCTTAGAAATTCTTAACATCTGGTAACACTGAGTTAAAATTTGGTGTTAAATTTACAGTGAGACACTTGATTCATAGGACATTGATACTAAATGGTGAATACACTGAAGTATTAAGAAAGGAAGCAATTTGCAGTGAGAGATACCGATAAATAAACAATACTTTCTCCTTAATATAATTATTAATTTGAGTTTGTGTTGATAGAGTCCTGAAGAATTTCACTTCACGTTATGGATTAACAATGAATAGAAAGTGACTCCATTTCGCAAATACTAAAAACGCAAGGATGCAGAAAATTGTGGTCAAAAAGCAAAGTTATTTCTGTACACACAACTAAAAAACGTTAGCTTGCAATCTAACTGGGCATGTCATTTAATGCTTAGTGTCCAGTGATATAGCCTAAAGGAAATTGGTTAATAGACTCCTAGCATTATGTCTAAATAGGAAAAGAATGCATGATTCGATTTTTCACATAGCATATAAATACCTAGAGGACAACTTTCAACAAATATAAGGCCAGTAGATAGTAATGATACGGAACCCGACATCAATCTAAGCAAAGAAAAAGTATCATAAATGGTGGTAGAAATACTGAGAAAAATACAAATGAAGGGCAATAAGCTACGAAAGAAAATTAGGAGTGGCTTATTAGTAGTGAGAACTTTTGACTATTCATCAACTATTACAAGTCTCTGGTTTATGCTCTATTTTAACTGACTACTTTTATTTAGGGAATCGAATAGCATCATTAGCTAGCATCTCAAGCATAAAAGTGAAGACTAAAACCGATGACAGAAATCTATTACATCATAATAGTGCCATTACGATGATAAAATTGTGAAGACACTTTTTAAATGTTTTCATAGAAAACAGATATTTCTGACTAAATAGGAAAGAGATAACAGGCTTAATTAAGTAAGAAGTAGGTAGGTAATACATATTTTTTGAGTCCTATGACATTTTATGACACAGGAATACTATTTGTTGTTATTGTCTGAGTGTTTTTACAAGTTTCAACTAACCTGAGAGTTTGTTAAAATTCAATTGAGAATTATGTGCACTATTAGATGATTCATGAGAGGACATAGAAACAGCAGTGGATGCAGTAGACAATTGACTAGTATATGTATTATTATTATTATTATTATTATTACTATTATTATTATTATTATTATTATTATTATTAATACAACTAAAATCGTTACGATTATCAAAACAACTGTGATTATAATTCTTCGTTTTATTATGTTTAGTTGAAACACTTGATAATTCAGAATTGACCACAGAACGTAAGGTTGGTAATGAAGGAAAATCCTCCAATGTGAATTGGTTGAATGTTTTACATGTTAATATACTGCTGGAATGTGATACGACTATCGGATGAGATGATTTAGATAGCTGATTAGAAGAGGAAATGTTTTTTATTTGAGATTCTCCAGAATTTTCTACTATTGGACGAAAGGCCTGACTGTAAGATTGATATGGTGTGTACATTTCCCGAGTATAACGTGATGAACCCGTTGGATCCCAATAATCCGGTGAAAAAGCTTTAAGTGCAGTAGAGTCAGAACCGCTTTCTTCAGAAGGTGGTGTGGAGATTGGAGAAGAATCGGAACTATGACGCTTTGGAAATATTGCGCAATAGTCTGATATTGTTTTCGGGCATTTCTCAGAACCGAGACAAAAATCGGAACCAGATGTCGTAGAGATGAGTCTGTTAGATGCAGAAGACGACGAGGGATATAATGGGTCGTTAATCAAACTCGGGTTAATTGATGAACACAAAATAAGCTCCTCAGACGATCGAACTAGATCTTTGTAAACTGAAGGCCTGTCAGACGCAGTTAAGGATTTTGTTGTATCTAGTGAAATAGACAAAAAAATTCAACAGAGAGAGCTGGTTAACATGAACAGAACAATTAAATTAGACAAACTGGTTGGTAATAGAAGTGACTAATCATCATTGGATGTCATACATCAGAGCAAATTTTTTGTTTCTTAGTGCACATCGGAACTGCTGACGTAATGGATTTTATATGACAGTAGATTTATTCAAGTACAACTCGACAACTAAATCTACTCACATTACCTTATCTCACTCAACCGCTAATGCAAACAACTCAAGTTAACGAACCGTTATTCCTGTTCTCGTGAAACACCATTCTAAAATATGTGTTGGAACATTTAATGTACGGACATTGTGTCGAATAGGGCAACAGGCTTCATTAGGTAGGAACTTGGTATTTCGCGCCATCGATGTGTGCTGCGTCTCGGAAACGCGCATACAGGATCCTAGTAAAATCATTAATTTGATTTCTCCTTGTCGAAATAAAGAAGCAACTCGACTTACTCTTCCTGTATCTGGAAGCCCTGCTACTGCTTTGTCCAGTCTCGCTGGTTTAGGTATAGCATCGAGTCCTAGGCCTGAACTAGCTCTCCTAGACTGGATCCCAGTAGATAGTCACTTGTGTGCTGTCCGACCGAACAGGACAGTAAGGGCTCGTAAAGATAGGAACACTCGTCGTATCTGCCTACGCTCCCACTGATTGCAGTTCAGACGATGTGAAAGATGAGTTCTACAGAAGCTTTAGGACCTCCTCCAAAAAGTTAAGCACTCTGATATAGTAATAATGTCTGGTGATTTCAATGCTCAAGTGGGTAGACTGAATGAAAAGGAAAGATACTTGTGTGGATCTTATGGTGTCGCGGCTAATAGAACAGATAATGGTGACCATCTGTTGCAACCACCTACTTCTAGCAAACACTAACTTTAGGCATAAGGAAGAGCATCTTTTGACCTGGCGACTCCCCAAAGTCGTCACAACGCTGGACTCAACTAGATCACATCGCCATCATCCACCAATGGAGAGGTTCGATAGAGGACTGTCGCCCGTTGTGGGGCACATGTCTAGATTCAGATCATGCTCTAGTGAGAGCACGTATCTGTTTAAGGCTTACTGGACGTAGGAAAGACACCGTAAGAAAGCCTCTTAGGGTTTTACTTAATGATAATCAAACCAAGAAAATATTTCAGGAGCAACTAGAAAGAGAGTTAAGCAACCATGCAAGCGATTCCCATCCGGAAGCAGGTTGGAATGATATCAAAAAAGCTGTGGAAACAGCTGTGGTATCTGCTAGTAAGGTAAACCATAAAGCTAGAATGAAGCCGTGGATCTCAGTAGCATCTATCGAACTGATGGATGCTCGGAAACTCATCCCACCTGACTCTGAACATGGTGAAGAACGAAGTCAGCTTAAGCGCAGGCTTATAAAAAGCCTATGGAATGATCGAGAAGTGGTGGTGAGCGAAAGCGAGAGAGATGGAAAAGTCAGCGGCGACAGGCAACAGTAGGCAACTATTTTTACTGATCAGGGAAACCGGTATTAGGAACCCAAATGTGAGTGAGACTGTTTCGGAAAAGGATGGTCTTATTATCCATTCTTAATCCAGGAGACTGGATCGATGGGCAGAACACTTTAGGGATCAGTTCAACTGGACTTGAGCTACTCTTCGATTGCCCACGATCTCCAGTCATCGTGAATGGCAAGTCGACGTAAGTCCTTCGAGTCTTTATGAAGTTGAGGAAGCTATAGAAGTTTGAAGCGAAGGCTAGCAGCGTGTCCTGATAGATTGACCCCTGAGATTTTTATGGATGGTGGTCCAGCTTTAACAGTCAGATTGATTGAGATCTTAGATAGAATCTGGTAACCGGACGCAATACTATCCGACTGGCCTCAATCACAGACTGTCCCAGTCTATGAGAAAGGACAGAAGTCCTCTTGTGACGACCACAGAGGAATCAGTTTGACTAATATAGTATCCAAAATATTGGCCTCAATAATACTTCGACACTTAACGAAAGCTCGTGAAGAGCAGACTAGAGAAAAGCAGTCTGGTTTTCTATCTGGTCGTGGATGTATAGACCAAATATTTACACTACTTCAGGTCCTGGAACATAGACACACATTTGGGCGTCCTACAATAGTTGCCTCCCTGGACCTTAAAGCGGCACTTGACTCTGTGGATCGTGCGATTCTATGGCAGTGTCTGTCATTGAAAGGTGTACCAAAGAAGTACATTAACCTTATACAAGCTCTCTACTCGAAACAACACTGGTCGGGTGAGACTGTATGGCGAATTATCATCTTAATTCTATACTTCAAGTGGTGTCCAATCTCTCCGTTCTTGTTTATATTCTCGTAGACATCCTTTTAGATTTAACATTATCCTCGTCAGATTTTTCAGGTGTGGACCTTTTACTAGGAGACACGCTTGTTGACCTAAAATAGGCCGATGATATGGTTCTGTTTGGTGAAGACGCTGACAAAATGCAGTCTTCTGACTACCTAAGCAACAATGCAACCATGTTCGGAATGCAATTCTCCTCGTTGAAACGCAAAATTTTGCTTCACGATTGGCTTGTATCGGTACCTGAACTAGTGATAGAGAGTGAAGTAGTCGGGCGTGTCGAACGCTTCACTTATCTGAGGAGTCTCATGAGTGCTGATGGTCTGGTGACTGACGAAATCTCAGCTCGGATACAGAAAGGTCGATTGGCTTTTGCCAACTTGCGTCATTTATGACAAGCGAGATATCCGTTTGCTAAACAAAGGTCGAGTGTACTGTGCAGTGGTTCGCTCCGTCTTACTATATGGCTGTGAAACATGGCCAGTGAGAGTAGAAGATATTCGTAGGTTACTGGTTTTCGATCATAGGTGTCTTCGAAGCATTGCTCGTATATCGTGGGACACCCGAGTGAGCAACGCTGTCGTTAGGAAACGAGTACTAGGTAAGGATGGCAGATCAATCGATGAAGTGGTGAAACCTCACCAGTTGAGGTGGTTGGGACATGTGTTGCGTATGCCCAACCACTGACTGCCTCGTCGAGCTTTGTTTTGTAGTGTAGGAATAGGTTGGAAGAAAGCTAGGGGCGGCCAAACCAAAACATGGCGTAAATCCATGAAGTCATTGACGAGTGGACTTAGCCATGTCGGTAATTGTCGACTACCTGGTTGGGGTCCGCGAGATGATAATAATCGATGGTTAGAGACCTTGAATGACATGGCTCAAAATCGTTCGCAATGGCGCCAGTGCATTTACCATCTGTGTTCCCTCAAATCTTAATCGTCTGGATTCTTCAACACCTCTAGTTTTGACTTTCTAAACTTTTCTCACTGAATCATACTTCTTGAATAGTATCTTCTAATCCTAACCTCTCCGATTACTTCTAATACCTTTACTACCTCTTCTACTATTGGATTTGAATTGACAATTACATCTCTGTGCTGATGTGGTATGGCGACATGAACTGATGTACTTACGTACGAAGTTCTACGTTGCATCTGACTGACTGATTGATAACTATTATAGTAGATTACCCTTTATTGTTAAAAACAGCGGCTCAGAAATTAAGGTGATCAATTTCCAGTCAATAAGCTGAAAGTTTGAATCTTGTTTGATTTACCGGATGGTAGCACCAGTCCTCACATTCAGGGTGTACATTGAAGCGGGTACAGTGATCTTAAAACAATAAACAGTTTACACGAAATCACTAGAATTCAACTGGTTACTTTCTTATGAGCATCGTCAGTGTTAAAATAAATCGTCATGCCGTAAATCGACTTTCACGTGGTAAAATATTTTATGTAACTACTGTCTAACTGGCTGAACATCACCTTATATAAGTAATCAGTCAAATGTTGAGTGATTATAAGATGGAAGCTCCTAATTCTTAACTCATTGAGCAACGAGTACAGATAAATTCAAATTGCTTTTAGACTCCAGTTGATCCAGAGGTTAAATCTTTGAATTCAAAATATTTTCGAAACACAAAAGATTAGTTGTGGTTAATAACTGTTGAGTATTAATAAGTTAAATGGTTATTGCTGTGTAAGCGAGTCTATACTCAGCTTATGAAGCAAAAAGAGAATTTCCGAGTAATTCTTTATTGATTGATAGTATAACACTACAGACGACCAATTATATGGCTAACTCGACCGAAAACCCAGATGGTTTTAGTTCACTCTACTGGTACACTATTCCATGAAACTAAACAGGACTAACTATCTTTTCTATCATGAAACTGACAATAGATAGCTAATCACTCCAATTTTTTACATTCTATCAAAACAACATACTTAAAAAATGGTAGTAAGATACTAAATTGTATGTAAATACTTTAATACGTTGACCAGATATACAAGCAGTTCTGTATAAACCAACTGATTAATTAATATTAGGAACCAACATCATGTTATCTGATCTTCAGTACTGATAGAACTTTATCAATCAAATTGTAATGCATCCATTACCAAGCTTGGAAAACTATTGAGGATTAGATAAATCTAAATTGTGACCTCTTTGACTGCTATGCGGTAGAGGGTTCGAATTTGACGTAAGAGGAGCACTAACTACAGGACGAGTCCCAACTGAATATTATCAACCAACTAATAATATGTAGGGGTGAATATCCCTTGATTTATTTGCCTGAATAGTTTTGTTAGAGAATTCGTATAGTTTGTGAATGAATGTAAATGATTCAACCATTATTTCCTCGTCAAACTTTTTATCAAATCAACTAAAAAATTGTAAAATGCATTCATACTAAAGAATAAGTATTTTTTAAATCATCGGTAAGATGATGTCTGTTAATATTGACAAGATACAAAGAAAAGTATTATTTGCTGTTTGTTACATTATCGTATCGACGGCGACTTACTGGGATAATTTATAGGAATGAGAATAACTTATCAAAAGATGTTAACCGTTTCAAGTTACATAGATTTGGCTAGAATATACTATAACAGTTTAACAGGAACATAAACTAAAGTATAGTTGGAGTGCTAACGCGCAAACACCAGTACTTATGCACAGTTCGCTAACAGATTGGCATTCAGAAGACAAGTCCAGACGAGATTCATAAATACTGGCTAGCAGTGTTTGTTTCAAACAAATGGACTTTTCATTATTATTATAATTATTAGGTTTATAATTGTTACTAATATCACTATCGTTTTTATTTAACAAGTTCTGTAGTTTAGATGTAGATTGGGAATTCGATAATATCATAGATGACAAAGGTGTATGAATATCACTGGATAAAGTTGATAAACTTAATGAAGATTTTGTAGATATTGTACTTATAGAAGAATTAAACTGCTCACCAGTAGTACGTGATAGGTCAGGATTTTTCAACCAAAGATGTACCTCTTCAAGATAATTTAAACCAGAATCATAAACTGAAAGCTCTCCATTACTAGTCAGACTATCATAATCCCGACATGATGAACAACGTACAGTTCTAGGATAGCGTTCATCATTTGAACTTTGACTACTACTAGTAGCAGTGGTAGTAGCAGTAGTAGTAGTAGTAGTAGTAGTAGTAGTAGTAGTAGTAGTAGTAGTAGTAGTAGTAGTAGTAGTAGTAGTAGTAGTAGTAGTAGTAGTAGTAGTCGTAGTAGTAGTATCATCAAATTCTTGGAAAGCGTCAAGTCCTTGTCGACTATTTGACTCGAATGAATCATCTGGCCTGCCAATGGATGATGAATCAGTTTGTATGCTTATCATGGAGGATATGTCCAATGTATCATTTTTATCATTGAAATGCATACCTACGTTATTTGGATTGATAATTGAAATGATTTCCTGGTTAGGGATGGAGGAAATATGTAAAAATAAAGAATATAAAGATAATATTTATATATACATTATATTATATATATGTGAATAATAAAGTAATCATCAATGCGTACATTGTCAATATTCATGTAAAACCTATATGTTTAACAATGATGTCGATGATACACAGTATAATATTCTTACGCGAAAATGCTGATTTTATGACAATAAAAAAAAAAATACAAATTACCACAATAAAAAGGTTAACCTATCAAGAGAGGGAATGAACATCCAAAATAACGAAAGCAAAGATAACTTACAAATTGCTTGTTGTTGTATTTGATGAGAGAAAATAAACAGAAAAGTTTTAGATAAAATGAGATAATTAAGCATTCCCAAAATACTTTCATGAAATGATAAATTCAATTGAACAAAATATGCATTTTGTACCCTTGATGCCAAATATTATTAGGAGATAAAAACAACTGTCAGTTAGTTGGACAAAACGCAGTACTTCATACCGCATACCACGTGCCATACCACATTAGCACAGAAACGCAATTGTCAGTTCAGATCCCATAGTAGAGGAGGTAGCAGAAGTATGAGCAGTAATCGGAAAGATTAGGATTGGAAGATATTATTCACGAAGTATAATCTAGTGAAACAAACTTAAAAAGAGAAAGATAAGAGTGATGAGGAATTCAGAAGATTAGAATTTCAGAGAAGCCAAAGAATGGATGCACCTGCGCTACTGCAAACGATTTTGGGCCATGTCATTCAAGGTCTCTAACCATCGGTGACTTTCGTCTCGCAGATTTGAGAGAACACAGAGAATAAATGCACCTGCGCCATTGCAAACGGTTTTGAGCCATGTCATTCAAGGTCTCTAACCATCGATTATTATCATCTCGCGGACCCCAACCAGGTAGTCGACAACTACCGACATGGCTAAGTCCACTCGTCAATGACTTCATGAATTTCTGCCATGTTTTGGTTTGGCCGCCCCTAGATTTCTTCCAATCTATTCCTATGGCACAAAACATAGCGCATAAGCGACTATCTACTGGGATCCGTTCTAAGAGGGCTAGTTCTTCCATACGACCTATACCTATACCATCGAGGCCACAAGAAGCAGCAGCAGGGCTTCCAGATACACGAAGCGCAGACCGAGTTGATTCTCTATATAGGCAAGGTGAAATGAAACTAATTATTTTACTGGGATCCTATTTGCGCGTTTCGCAGACGCGGCATACATCGATGGCACGAGATCCTAAAGTCCTAGCTAGGAAATCCTGTTGCTATATTTGACACAAGTTCAGATATTAAAAGCCTCAAGATGTGGTTTGGGGCCGGGTTCAGGAAATCAGGAATAACTCTTCGTGAACTGGAATCGTAAGCGGGGTGATAAAAGAATGTTGAGATAAGAGAGATCTTAGGGGGTGTAGGAAGGATTTAACTGCGACTGGTTTGGTCTGGTGTACTGTTACTGGTATAGGGATGGATGTCACTTCCCGGCTGCCCACACCGTGGAAAGGTGTTTCTTGCGGAACCTGAAAAAGAAGGTAGATTAGTATCGATCTTGGAAACACGGGAGCGTGACCGCACAGCCCAATGGACAACTGCTTGAGACCGGTTGTGCACGGTGATTGGCTTCTGCCAAGTTGCGTTACCTATAGCGCAGGCGAGATATCTGTTTGCTGACCAAGGGACGAGTGTACTGCGCAGCAGTCCGCTCCGTTCTACTATACGAGTGTGAAACATGGCCATTAAGAGTAGAAGATATTCGCAAGCTACTAAATCTGATCATAAATGTCTTTGAAGCATTGTTCGTATATCCTGGGACAATCGAGTGAGAAATGCTGATGTTGGGAAACGAGTACTAAGTAGGGATGGCAGATCAATAGGTGAAGTATTGAAACTTCATCAGTTGAGATGGTTGGGACATGCGTTGCGTATGCCTAACCACCGATTGCCTCGACGAGCGATATTGTCCGATGTAACGGTAGTCTAAAAGAAATCTAGTGGAGGCCAAACCAAAACATGGCAGAAATTCATGAAGTCATTGACAAGTGGACTGAGTCATGTTGATAATTATCGACTACCTGGTTGGGATCTGCGAGACGAAAGTCACCGATGGTTAGAGACCTTGAATGACATGGCCCAAAATCGTTTGCAGTAGCGCAGGTGCATCCATTCTTTGGCTTCTCTGAAATTCTAATCTTCTGAATTCCTCATCACTCTTATCTTTCTCTTTTTAAGTTTGTTTCACTAGATTATACTTCGTGAATAATATCTTCCAATCCTAATCTTTCCGATTACTGCTCATACTTCTGCTACCTCCTCTACTATGGGATCTGAACTGACAATTGCGTTTCTGTGCTAATGTGGTATGGCACGTGGTATGCGGTATGAACGTATGTGTGAAGTTCTACGTTGTATCTGACTGACTGACTGCTGTGAAAAAATAAAACCCGTTGAGCACTTTCTGGAAGAATACCAACTTCCAGAGAGTGTTTGTTTTGTTCGACCACGAAGTAAGCTCCTTTACGAAAAAAGAAATTTGACTGAGCCTACACAAACAAGTGCAGAAGGCACTTAATGGATCGATAGCTCATGGCTCCAGGATGACTAAAGAATTCCTGAAAACAAAGGGAAGGATTTCAAGGAATGTTACCCAGCACCACACACCCACCAATGTTAGTCGTACAGACGGTAATTGGCTGCAGACTATCCCAATAAGACCTAAAGATTAAGGTTGGGATGGACATCACAAGATTTGAGCGCATCGATTCGAGACAGACAAGGGGAAGATCACATCTGCATCAATTAAAATTCGAAGGGTCCATGGAGAACGTAAGAATGAAAACGTCACTGAACCTAACAAACATTGAAGTAACACACACGAACCTTTCTATAAATGATACAACATTGGTAATAGAAATAAGCGAATGTATCAGACAAATCAAGAATGACAAGGCAGAAGCATCAAACAGCATATCAGTTAGAGCATCGGAGTCAAACATGGAGCCAAATGCAAAGATGAGCTGCGCTTATACTCATTGCTCTTTTTATAATCAATTGTTCTACCTTATTATGTATGGAGACAGATGGCTAGCTAGGAAGTAGATCTTGAGAGTGTATATATGTCTATTAGAATGTATGATCTAAAAGGAATATGTGCAACGGACAGTTATGATTCAAAAACGTACCTTGTTGTTTTCATCACTATCATATCCACAACTACGCAAACAATTTGATGGTAAACTGTGTGGACGTAATGAACGTGTTACAGAACTTCGATAATCTAGAAATGTTTGTAAAATTGGACAATAAGTACTTTCTAAACCAGTAGATAATATAAATATTACTGATGAGTACTGATTACAATAATATAACTAGTATTAAACATCGACAAAATTATATATATATATATATATATATATATATATATATATATATATATATATATATATATATGTTTGACATAGAGTGCAACATAACCAATTCATGAACTTCCACAGGTTATGTTATGAGCTAAACTTGATTGATTGCAACATAATAGTAATATCACCCGCCCAATCAAAAAAAGAATTTATTAATTTGTTTGCAAGTCTGTTCTGTATTTGTCAGATACTGAAGGGAAACTTACTCATAAACTACTTCGTTCCGGTGATTTAAAAGATAAGAAATGTCATCAAGGAAATTTATGGTTGTAACACATTTGATAAACACTCATTAGTCAAGCATTTGTTCTGAGTGTAAACAGAATTCAAAAGCAATTCAAAAAATGAGTAATCATTTAGACAGTCGTTACTTTTTTCATGATAAGACTTAATTTGAAAAAAGACAGGCCTAATTAAATACAAAGCAGTTTCATGGACTCAAAAACGATATTGCATCAAGCTCTAGAATGGAAGCGATAGACATTAACCGTATTTTCGCTTATGGATGGAAGTATACTTTATCAATAAAAGAATGATCGCAATCAAATGCTCTTGACAGGCATCATCATATGGCTTATTTTACATTGACGAAAATGCAAGAAAAGCGATCATATAAAGAAAAACTGTTTAGATGGTTGATGAAGACTGGGTGGTAAAATAGGTTGATAATGTGGGTCCATTTTTAGTGTTGTACGGATCATGACAAGTTTCAATATCACCAAGTTTCTGTTGTTTGAACTCTTTTAAAACAACTGAAGCATATACTCATTCTTTTCATATATCATCGACAGTAGTATACATTATCTGAACGATACCAACTGATTCATAATGTCTAAACAGGCGTTTTATATTCCACTACTAGTTTCAACAATGTATCACTGCTGTAAGAAAATACAAACATCTTTATTAAGACCTCATTTACTGATGGATTCATCGATTAGGTTCACTAAACTGATATAAAATACTTTCTTACAATAGTATAAAAAACGTTGATTTGAATAAAATGTACGTACTTAAATAGTTAGATTCTTTTGATTTAATAAAACCAATAATCAGCTATAATTGGTTAGAACGTAAAAATTAGTGAATCGAATAAAAGTGTGTAAATAATGACCTATATAACATCAGCAGAAATAAGTACAAAATGTTGCATGATAAACACTACGTGTTGTTGTTATTGTCGTTAAAATCATAATGCGGTCAAAATAGACGTTGAATTATGTACAAAGATTTAGTCTACGTAAAATCAATATCTGGTAAACATCTTTCTACTTGTTCAAGTTATATATCCATTAGGATTATTATATGAAGATGGATGATACGACTTGATCAATCATCACTAACCATAAGCCGAAGTTAAGATTAGGAAGAAGACAAAATCATACTATCTTGATAAGGTCGATGATGTAGAGTTTGCAGAAATGCTTTCATAACGTCTAACAAATGAGTCATATCACTTTTGCACAAGCAGAGGTTGTTAACGAAAGTGAGAAGACGAAAAGAGGACGTTCCTGGCTTAGGCAAAGTTGGTGAAGATGATGTTCACCTGGGGGAGTTAGAAAACCCTAATTTATAATCCTTCAAGTTATTTCAGAAGATAATTATTGACATTTACTCATGTACAATTCCTTAATACTTATGAATGCAAACATTTGTTTATCCATTCAAATATTTGATTCGGAAAACGAATTCATCTTTCGAACAATATAAATGCCTTACAGTACATCCATACACTTTATTCACTGCCAGTTTATATGTTGATTAGTATGCTTGAAATAAATACATTCACAAAACCCATAAGCTTATCGTTGGAAAACGAAGGGTGAAAATATAATATATTGACGCTCTGCAGTTAACCAGTCAGAATCAGCATAACGTCTTGTATCTTTTCCGGAAATTTTAAGTTCTTTTTAATACTCGAATAGTTATGTCGATAAATTCATCTTGTTGTGCTGATGTACTGTGGTAACTTGAAACTAGAATCTATGTTGCCTATAACTGAAGAGCTGTTTCTCGTTGTATCAAAATCCTCAGATCACAATGATGTTAATTCAAAGCGGTTGGAATAATATTTATCATAATAATAACAGCAATAATAATAGTAATAATGGTAGTTAGAGGTTTTACAGTGGACTAATCAGAAAGCGCCAAGTTACTAAACAGTATCAGATCTCAAACACGATATATTTGTTGTGTCCTAGAAAGTATGGATCAAGTGGACATAATGAAACGTAGAAAATAAGATTTAAGCTGAAGACCTACAGAAAATTACAAATAATTAATGAATCTGGGTCATTGAAACCGATCTCAAACTAGGTTTAAATAGGCATACAATCATCGATCACTAACGGACTACAAACAGTTAAGGTGTGAATCTCTGTAAAGATACAACAGACTAGTAGTGGTTCAACACTTTACAAGCCAACAATGTGTTTTAATCTGAGAAAGGACACATCCCCTAAAATTTATTAAACCAAAATTTATGTTGTTAACCAACATAGCACAAATGTCATAAAAAGGGTGGTAAGTGACCATGAATAAAACATCGACTGACTAATTCTCTCTGAACAACTATAGCGTGAAACGCTAGTAATAGAAATAATAATAATAATAATAATAATAATAATAATAATAATAATAAAACACATTCAGACAAGTTCAGTTTTGTTAGGTAGATTTAAAAACGACAAATGTATAGGTTTAGATTATACGTGACTATGTGTGCACGCAAGGATAGAACCTTAAAATAAGAACACCATATAAAAACAAGTTTATTATACATATATATATATATATATAGATCATTGTCTATATCAACCTGTATGGTTTGCTCCTTCGTATATTAGATATATTATCATTTCTTGTTATGCCACATGTGGTCGAGACGGCAGGAATTCGAAACAAATCCACAGTGGAACCAAGTAAACGGAATTAAAGGGAAAATGCTTCATGTTTTCAGTATAAAAAAATCTTTTTACTTACAGTATCGTGAGCAATGGCACAGCAAAACACCACCATGTGAATAATTAACAGAAGGATTATTATTGCAGTCCTAAAAGAAACAAAAAGTTTCCTGCCAAATAACTGCAAAGCTATCTAACTTGGTTCTAATACAATTAACACAGAATTTATATCTTAGTATGTACACAATTCAACCGACAAAATTTAATTAGTATCATGGGATAGATTAAAATGACGGTAATTGCTACTCAATGGTAAATCAGTGGATGTCTCAGTGCTACCGAAGGTTTGCAATCATGGCCCAGATAGCTACTGTAATGTGTGTGACTGGCACTAGGAAGGAGTGAGGATTCAAACCCTGCGAAAACATCAGTCTCCTTTCAAGGTTGTACATACGTCACGCTAACGAGTGAGATGAAACAAAGATATAAAAGTTTCTTCTGTTTGCCTTTAACTACTTAACATCAAAACAGTTTGCTCTGGATGTCCCTTTAATAGTTTCAGAAGTTATTACGACTGTATGTCGAATGTTAACTAAGAATAACGTGTCTAAAAATTGTGTTTCATATGCTCCAATATATTTACACCGAACGTATTAATGTTTCACAGAGTACTCATCGGCAACTAAAAAAATTAACTATTTTTCATTTTCTTTCTACTTGTGTTAAGTGTTTAGAGACCTAATTAGAGCACCTCCCGAAAAAGACCACGTTGGAGCGCCCTGATTGATCCATTTTCAATCAATGAGGGCTACTGGATGAGCTGAGAGCACCAGAAATCTCCTGTACAAAATGTATATTCACAATGATATTTAAATATTATACTGACTTCACTTGCTGTTTGCTTTAATATGAGAGTCAGTCGTATAAAAAGAAGTCTCCAAGAATACTAGGCTTAAAACAAAATAAATGATTTAAACCTGGCTTTCCGTTTCATTTGATTGTTTTATTATCAACCATTATAAGATCATGTAAAGTGCACTTAAACATTTATGTCCATTTACATGATCACGTCTGTTCTTAAGTAGTGAAAGACCTGAAAAATTGCCAATCTATTCTTTTCATTTCTAAATAATGAATACATGTAACTGCAAAACAGTTGTTGGATAAACAATAACTGTGTTAGATCTGTTTTCGTACTGACATTATCTTAATGCAGTTGATCATTAGTAAACAAAATAAAACCATGAAGCGGTACTTTATTGGTAAATATTATAACAATATCTTTCATTTCTGCGGATATGAACGAATTTAAGACTGAGAGATGAGTACTACAGTAGTATCAGGTTCGATATGATGAATTTGCTTGTATTACAAAAAAGCATGAGTGTTTAGTTCAACCAGATTTAATACTAAGAAGAAACTAACACGATCACTTACTTAGTACCTAGATGACTGAAAATACGTTTTCGAAGATGGTTATGGAACAAGCTGATTAGCTCATAGAAAACAAGAATAAATATAAAATACCTAAAAACCTCAGTCAGTCAGTTACAACGTAGAACTTCGTACTTAATTACGTCAGTTCAGGTTCCCATACCACATTACCATAGAGACGCCACTGACAGTTCAAAACCGATAGTGGTAGAGATAGTAGAAGTAATATTGAAGCGGAGATTAGAGTTCATAGAAATTTTTCAAAACACATAATTCAGTGACATAAATGTAGAAATAAGGTAGAGAGGTGCGACGAATTCAGAAGATTAAAATTCCATGGACCATAAGCAGTGAATTCAGCTGAGCCATTGCATACGATTTTGAGTCACGTCACTCCGGGTCTCTAACCATCGGTGACTTTCGTCTCACGGACCCGAACCAGGTAGTCTTTATTTACCAACATGACTCAGTCCACTTGTCAGTGACTTCATGGATTGCTTAGGGTAGTCAGAAGACTGCATTTTGTCAGCGTCTTCACCAAATAGAACTATGTCATCGGCATATTCTAGGTCAATAAGCGAGCCTCCTGGTAGAAGGTCTACTCCTGAAAGTTCAGACGAGGATAAGGTTATATTTAGGAGCATGTCTATGACAAAATTGAACAAGAATGGAGTGGATATCCCTGACGAACACCACTTGAAGTAAATAATTCCGATGACAGTTCGCCATAAGCTCTCACGACACAGCACACATCGATGGCGCGAGATATCAAGGTCCTACCTAATGAGGCCTGTTGCCCTATTCGACACAATGTCCGTACATTAAATGTTCCAACACATATTTTAGAATGGTGTTTCACGAGAACAGGAATAACGGTTCGTTAACTTGAGTTGCTTGCATTAGCAGTACAGGGTGTTAAAGAGATGTGAGAAGGGTGAGACACGGAGATAAGAGAGATTTTAGGGGGTGCAGAAACGACTTGTTTGAGACCAGTTTGGTCGCTCCTACTGTTACGGATAAGAGGGCGGTTTTCACTTCCCGGCTGCCCACATCGTGGAAGGGTGTTTCTTGAGGAACCTGAAAAGGAATGTAGATTAGTGTCGATCTTAGAGACCTGGGGGTGTGACCGCAGAGCCCAAGGGACAACTGCTTGAGGCCAGTCACACGCACGGCCTTTTTATGAGTTTTTTTAAGTATTAGCTCCGCTCTTTTAAAAGCGCTTATAGGGAAGCCCTTACCTACGGAGACGGAAATCCGTGAGATAAGATGAGGTGTGGCATCTTCAGGGTCGACCTTTTCTAACCCTTCCTTCCTTGTGAGAAAGCAGCATCGCTGCAAATGCTGGTTGTCCGAGGGAAACACCTTACTGTTGTCACACCCGTCTACAGTCAGCAGTACGACTTCGCCCTCAGAACTTGAGTAGCTGCTTTTAGTCTTATCGTTCTCCAATCGACCTGCCTGGCATGGTAGAACCCTCAGGAACATACGTTGCAGCCAATATAGCTCTGTTGAGTCATCACGATAGGTAAACGAGACCACCGCGAGAAAGTAGCAGCTGTCGTCGGGACTCCTGAAAACTAACTTAAGTGCAATGGACAGAATAGTTTTGATAACTGTTGGAGACGTTAAATGCCTCGAACTCTCTTGATAAATGCCCTATCTTGGATTTCACGTCCACGAACATGGGCTGGTCAGATGACCTTGAGATTTCACTTCCCACCAGGACAATATTTGGCTGTGATTGGCTGCTGTGTATTTTAGTGTGCTATTTTTGTAACTTCCAAGGACGTTTTCTGTGATGTATACATAAACAGGAGTTGTGTGCTTGATTGCATTGTGTTTGCTGGGTGTTGTAGAATATACTTTCTACGCTTATCAAGACTTCTGTTTTGCAGTTTGGGATCCAAGGTAGCCTACCTGGACGCTGGTAATTGTCTCGTTCGCGTTTATCCACTAAGCATACCTAGTGACGAACTTAACGATAACAATTTTATCGTGAACTGAGAATGTTGAAAATCCTTTGAAAACTTAAATTGCCAAACACTTGATTAGGATGTCAAAAATTTAAGAAGACATTTGTTTCTAAGTTAGGGGAATATAGTGAAGACGATGAGTGAATTCACTAACCATGTACATATTTGTGTACTCAGTTTGGAGGCCATAGTTTGTATGGCGGTTAAAGATACTACGCACCTGGTGAAGCTGAAGTGGAATAGAATTTATATTAGTCAGACATTGGGTGAAAGTCACATGCTTCACCTCCTAAATTACCGCTGCGTTGTGATTACAATGACAGACTGGAATCCGCCCTAACGTCTAATGTTCCGCAACTTTAGTGAATGTCAGATAACAGAAATATAAACCAATGAACAACTATACTCATGGATTACAAGTAAAGAAGAGTAAAATGTGGTTTAGCTAAGCAGATATATATAAAATTAAGTGATACTAGAATAACAAATGACCTACTTGATTTATAGAGCCTCGGTTACCGTAGAAACGACTTTGTCTTGGTGCCGGACACTGTAGAACACTAGATCCGGTAGAAAAATTTAGACAGGAATGTTGTTTACGGTTAGAGGGAGACTTTAACTTTTGAGGATACGCACTAACGACATGTTTAGTGGGATGTTTGTACTGATTAGCAAGTTGAGCAATTTTTACTGACTGATCAGATAAGGCTCTTACAATGGATAAACGCTTATACAAACGTTGTCGCTGGTCAAAAGAAAAAGCCGGATGAAATGCAGCAAGTGTATAAATGAGCATAATTTCATCCAAAACTTGCGGATTGATAGTCCTTAAAATATCTACTGAAGACAACTCACAATCACTGTCGTCTGATGAAACACAGCTACCCTTAGATGATTTATTTTTTACATGTAGTGTTTTTGACACGGAAGTTGATATTTGTAAATCATTCGGTGAATCTGTGTCGCTCTCGTCAGCCATTAATGTTTCAAAATAACTTGTAGCTGCTGGTATATTTGTAGAATTAAGTAGAGAAAGACTGAGGATAAGTTTGGATCGTAATGTTGCATTCTTATTTAGTATAATAAATGATGGAGGAATTGGGATAGAAATCGGAGTTACCAGACTGGAAATACGAGAATTTGATGACACAGTATTATACAAAGTTAAAACGCCATAATTTTCCATTGGTGCATTTGCTTGTAGTTCAGAATCGCGGAGACTTTCGTAGTCTTGACGAGCAATCTCTTCCAAGCAGCTGCCGTAAAACCTTAGTTCTGGTGGTGTGGATAACTGAAGTAAACCGCAAACAAATTCTACGCGTTTAGGAGCAGACAAATTGCTGAACCACTTTAACACTTCATGGATAGATGCTTGGGTAAAACGCAAATGTGGTGATGGATTGAGCTGTGAGTCATAGTAACACACCATGACGTTCCTAGGGCGTAAAACCAAAAAACACGTCTTTTACTTCTGAAATTATAAATTTGTAACTGGAATAATGTACCAATAAGAAATATAGATGAACTACACAATTTCTGTATGTCGCCATACCACATCAGCACAGAGAAGTAATCGTCAATTCAAATCCAATAGTAGAAGAGGTAGTAAAGGTATTAGAAGTAATCGGAGAGGTTAGGATTAGAAGATACTATTCAAGAAGTATGATTCAGTGAGAAAAGTTTAGAGAGTCGAAACTAGAGGGGTTGAAGAATCCAGACGATTAGGATTTGAGAGAACACAAAGAATAAATGCACTGGCGCCATTGCGAACGATTTTGAGCCATGTCACTCAAGGTCTCTAACCATCGATTATTATCATCTCGCGGACCCCAACCAGGGAGTCGACAATTACCGACATTGCTGAGTCCACTTGTCAGTGACTTCATGGATTTCTGCCATGTTTTGGTTTGGCCGCCCCTAACTTTCTTCCAACCTATTCCTACACTACAAAACAAAGCTCGACGAGGCAGTCAGTGGTTGGGCATACGCAACACATGTCCCAACCACCTCAACTGATGAAGTTTCACCACTTCATTTATTGATCTGCCATTCTTACCTAGTACTCGTTTCCTAACGACAGCGTTGCTCACTCGGGTGTCCCACGATATACGAGCAATGCTTCGAAGACACCTATGATCGAAAACCAGTAACCTACAAATATCTACTTTCACTGGCCATGTTTCACAGCCATAAAGTAAGACGGAGCGAACCACTGCGCAGTACACTCGTCCTTTAGTCAGCAAACGGATATCTCGCCTACGCCGTAATTGACGCAAGTTGGCAAAAGCCAATCGAGCTTTCTGTATCCGTGCCGAGATTTCGTCAGTCACCAGGCCATCAGCACTGATGAGACTCCCAAGATAAGTGAAGCGGTCTACACGTTCGACTACTTCACTCCCTATCACTAGTTCAGGTGCCAATGCAACCCAGTCTTGAAGCAACATTTTGCATTTCGAGGGGGAAAACCGCATCCCGAACATGCTTGCATTGTTGCTTACGGTAGTCAGAAGACTCTGCATTTTGTCAGCGTCTTCACCAAGTAGGACAATGTCATCGGCATATTCTAAGTCAATAAGCGAGCTAGAAGGTAAAAGGTCTACTCCTGAAAATTCAGACGAGGATAATGTTATGTCTAGGAGCATGTCTATGATAAAATTAAACAAGAATGGAGAGAGTGGACAGCCCTGACGGACACCACTTGATGTAGAGAATTCCGGTGACAGTTCGCCATAAGCCCTCACTCGACCAGTGGTGTTCGAGTAAAGAGCTTGTATAAGGTTAATGTACTTCTTCGGTACACCTTTCAATGACAGACACTGCCACAGAACCTTACGATTCACAGAGTCAAGTGCCGCCTTAAGGTCTAGGAAAACAACTATTGTAGGACGCCTAAATGTGTGTCTATGTTCCAGGACCTGTCTGAGTGTGAAGATGTGGTCTATACAACCACGTCCAGGTCGAAAACCAGCCTGGTTTTCTCGAGTCTGCTCTTCACGAGCTTTCGTTAAGCGTCGAAGTATTATTGAGGCCAGTATTTTAGATACTATATTAGTTAGACTTATTCCCCTGTGATTGTCACAAGAAGACTTCTGTCCTTTCTTATAGATTGGGACAATCAAGGATTGAGACCAGTCGGATGGGATTGCGTCCAGTTCCCAGATTCTACCTAAGATCTCAGTCAACCTAGCTGATAAAACTGGACCACCATCCTTAAATATCTCAAGGGTCAGTCTATCAGGACCTGCAGCTCGTCCTCGTTTCAGATTTCCTAACGCTTTCTCAACGTCATTAAGACTAGGGGGACTTAGGTCGATTTGCCATCCAGGATGACTGGAGATCGTGGGCAACCGAAGTGTGGCTGAAGGCCAGTTGAACTGATCCCTAAAGTGTTCTGCCCATCGATCCAGTCTCCTGGATTGAGAATGCATAATTAGACCATCCTTTTCCGAGATAGTCTCACTCACATTCGGGTTCTTAATACCAGTTTCTTTAATAAGGCGGAAAAGTTGTCTAGCGCTGCCTATCGCCGCTGCCTTTTCCATCGCTTTTGCTTTCGCCACCCACCACTGTTCGCAGTCGTTACGTAGACTTTTTATGAGTCTACGCCTAAGCTGACTACGCTCTTCATCATGTTCAGAGTCAGGTGGGATGCGTTTTCGAGCATCCATCAGTTCGGTGGATGCGACTGAAATCCACGGCTTCATCCTAGCCTAATGGTTTACCTTACTAGCAGATATCACTGCTGTTTCCACAGCTTTTTTGATATCATTCCAACCTGCTTCCGGATGGGAATCGCTTGCATGGTTGCTTAACTCTCTTTCTAGTTGCTCCTGAAATATTTTCTTGGTTTGATTATCATTAAGTAAAACCCTAAGAGGCTTTCTTACGGTGTCTTTCCTACGTCCAGTAAGCCTTAAACAGATACGAGCTCGCACTAGAGCATGATCTGAATCCAAACATGTGCCCCAGAACGAGCGACAGTCCTCTATCGAACCCCTCCATCGGTGGCTGATGGCGATGTGATCTAGTTGAGTCCAACGTTGAGACGACTTCGGGGGTCGCCAGGTCAACAGATGCTTTTCCTTATGCCTAAACTTGGTGTTCGCTAAGAATAGGCGGTTATCTGAGCATAGTTGCAACAGACAGTCGCCATTGTCTGTTCTCTCAGTAGCTACACCATAACATCCACCAAAATGTCTTTCCTTTTCACCTAGTCTACCTACTTGAGCAATAAAGTCACCAGCCATTATTAATATATCAGAGCGCCTGGCTTTTTGGAGGAGGTCCGAAAGCTTTCTGTAAAACTCGTCTTTCACGTCGTCTGCACTGCAGTGAGTGGGGGCATAGGCAGATACGATGAAGAGGCAACGGCGATTGTCCCTATCTTTCCGAGTCCTTACTGTCCCGTTTTGTTGTAACGGTTGCTTACGATATTTCCCGGCTAAATCTTATTGCTTAGTATTCTTGACACAAAACACTGGACAAGTAACACAAATCAAAACACGGTTGAACAGGAAGGATTGTATTCCAAAATAACAAGGAATAAGAAGCTGGAGGTGATGGCGAAAGCCAAGGCAAAGAAGGCGATAGAAGGCTGAAGGCTAAGAAGGCTTGAAGGCCAAGATAAATACAATGCTAGTCTATTTATAGCCTTTACATGAGAAAACTTCTGGAACAAAATTCACGTGATCGACTGGGCTGGATTTGACCAATCAGCATGCAGCTAATAATACGAGAATTTTCTATCCTGTTCTACAAGCTTCGATCAGGCGCTGATTGGATAGGAAATTAGCCAATCAGCGCGTAGTGACGTAATCATGCTTTAAATTTCATCTATGTCCCACTAACACGTTTAGTCGGACAGCGCACAATCGACTATCTATTGGGATCCAGTCAAGCAGAGATTGTTCTGCCCTACGACTCAATGCTATGCCTACACCAGCAAGACCCCGGGAAGCAGCATCAGGGCTACCGGATACACGAAGAGTAAATTGAGCTGCTTCTTTATTTTGACATGGTGTGGCCAAGTGTATGACGCGACTCAGATCCTGTATGCGCGTTTCCGAGACGCAGCATACATCGATGGCACGAGATTCTAAAGTCCTAGCTAAGGAAGCCTGTTGCCCCATTTGACACAATGTCCGTACATTAAAAGCTCCAACATGTAGTCTAGAGCGAGGTTTAAGGAGACCAGGAACGACGTTTCGCAAACTCGTATCGTCTGCATTAGCTGTGCACTGTGATGAATGAATGTGAGAAGAGTTAGTCGTGGAGATAAGAGAGGTACTAGGGGGTGTGGGAAGGATTTGATTTTGACCAATTTGGTCTCGCGTGCTGTTATGGGTATGAGGGCGGTTGTCACTTCCCGGCTGCCCACACCGTGGAAGGTTGTTTCTTGAGGAACCTGAAAAGGAAGATGGATTAGTGTTGGTGCGTGACCGCAGAGCCCAAGGGACAACTGCTTGAGGCCGGTCACGTACGGCCTTTTTATGAAATGTTTTTTGAGGATTAGCTCCGTTCTTAAAGGCCCTAGTTGTGGGCACCCTAACCCAAGGAGACGGAAATCCGTGAGTTAGGGGAGGTGTGACATTTTTAGGGTCGACCTTTTCTAACCCTTCCTTCCTTGTGAGAAGGCAGCATCGCTGCAGATGCTGGTTGTCCGAGGGAAACACCTTACTGCTGTCACACCCCTCTGCAGTCAGCAGTACGACTTCGCCCTCAGACCTTGGGTAGCTGCTTTTAGTCTCATCGTTCACCAATCGACCTGCCTGGCATGGTAGGACCTGCAGGAACATATGTTCCAGCCAGTATAGCTCGGTTGGGTCATCACGATAGGCAAGCCCGACCACCACGTCAAGGTAGCAGCTTCGGTCGGGGTCATCATCTTCATCAACAGTAACGTAGAACTTTGCACGTAAGTACATCAGTTCATGTTGCCATACCACATCAGCACAGAGAAGTAATCGTCAATTCAAATCCAATAGTAGAAGAGGTAGTAAGGAAATTAGAAGTAATCGTAGACGTTAGAATTAGAAGATATTATTCACGAAGTATGATTCAATGAGATAAGTTTAGAAAGTAAAAGCTAGAGGTGTTGAAGAACCCAGAAGATTAGGATTTGAGAGAACACAAAGAATATATGCACTGGCGCCATTGCGAACGATTTTGAGCCATGTCAGTCAAGGTCTCTAACCATTGGTGACTTTCGTCTCGCGGACCCCAACCAGGTAGTCGACAATTACCGACATGGCTCAGTCCACTAGTCAATGAGTTCATGGACTTCTGCCATGTTTTGGTTTGGCCGCCCCTAACTTCCTTCCAACCAATTCCTACACTACAAAACAAAGCTCGACGAGGCAGTCGGTGGTTAGGCATACGCAACACGTGTCCCAACCACCTCAACTGATGAAGTTTCACCACTTCATCGAT